TTTATCATATTTTATTATATTTTATCATATAAATGACTTATTTTTGGTTTATTTTCGGTTTTTGGTTTTTGAGAGACTCAACCGAAACCGAACCAAAATATATTCGGTTAACATTAAAACCAAAAAAATAAAACCAAAAACCGTTGAAACCAAACCAAATTCATTTTTTCAGTTCGATTTTCGAGTAAAAAATCGGTTCGGTTAAAAAATGCCCAGCCCTACTCATTAGTTTCACTTTCTCTCAACTTTTTTTCTTCTCCACTGTTGCTCTCCTTACTTCTTTTCAAGTTCTCTAATCTTTCTCTTTGATAGCACTTACATAAAAAATTAAATTAGGTGGCACATAGTCCTTCATGTCTCTCTTTTTAACAAATGTTAATATTTTTATGAAATTATAAATTTTAAATATTGTATAGGTATATATATTTGACATATATTTTAATTCCACTTATATAATCAATAATCTTTCCCTTTCTTTTTTTTGAAATTGAAATAAAAATTGAATTATGAAATGAAAATTGACATTTAATAAAATTTTCTAACTAAATAATTAATTAGTATTAGATTTTGTTAATGTTAAATTGAGAAAAATATAGAAAATTTTTAATTTTAATTTTAATTTTAATTTTTTAGAAGTTGGATCCACCCGACCCAATTCGAGATATATGTGGTTGGGTCATGGGCCTATTTCTTTTAACCTAACATCCAAAATAACCAAATTTGAAAAACCTAAGATCCGAGATACCCAATCTGAACTCACCTGTGTTGCAAGGTCTAATAGCTATTGTATTGATAATTTCTTTGATTTTCGACATTCTTGTCTTTTGGTTATTTGCCGCAGATTGATGAAGCTGCGGATCGATATGGTTTCATTGCCATGGCATTAAACGCAACTTGGATCGAATAACTGTTTTGAGTTCTGATGGACCGATCCATGGTCACACGCAGTTTGGTAGAAGTCAGCACTTCCAGTTACCGAAATGATTTTTTTATCTTTATTTTATTTAGACTTTCCACTCTAGAGGGCCCATCACAAGAATTTTCTGTTCACAATCCACATAAATTCCTGATCAACAGCATTTTAGGTCTTCTTCGCAGTTTAAGTTAGAGACTTGAGATCTTTTAAGGGCATTGTCGAGCAAAATAAATTCTTGTAGGGACTTAAATTATTCTCTATGAATTGGGGATCCTGGACTGGATCTAGAAGTCTACAGTATATTTTCAAGTTCAAATTCAGCCCCTATGCTAGTTTATAAACAAACTATAGCTTAATTTTGAAATTCAAGTTTAGATTGAATTGAAACTCGATAACCAATTTGAAAGTTAACAAACTTTCATAATTATGCTTTTTAAAAGATGAATTATTAAACAATGACAATCAACTCGCCATCTTCCAAACTATTCAAGAAACACTAGAAGGGTGGATATATTGGCATCCTTTGTGGACAAAACCAGCTTTACCCCAAAATTGCAGTAAGTATTTCATTAAGATAAAAGGACAAAACTATAGTTCAAATCAATGTTATTGATACCTTACCGTATTAGTTGGTATGTATCAGTTTTTTTATTAAATTGACATAATACATGATTCAATTTTGTTTTAGTCAAATTTCACCAATTTTGATCAAATTCTGGTAACCAGCTAATATTTCGACGTACCAGTTGGTACACTGAATATTGGCCGGTACTAATCAATTCAAATTTAAAAAAGTGTAATTCCATTTTTGGTCCTCAACTTCAATATTTTGCATAATTTTCATCTTTTAACTTTTTTATCTATTTTTTTAGTTCATCAACTATAAAAAATATATTTTTTTAGTCCTTCTATCAGTTACTTCATTAAGTTTGTTTAAATATGCACATTCTTAGTACCTTAACTTAAAGTAAAGGGATGAAAAATATGCATATATTAGAAGTTGAGGGACTAAAAATGTATATTTTTAATCCCTTTTAACAATTTCAATTTTAAACTTCTAGTTCTCAATACTTATCAGTTGTTGTTCTCTCTTCACAGTAATGTTTTGATTTGTCTTTTGCATTCTTGTTATACTTAGAAGACATGATTTCTTCCCTTATGAAAGTATTTTGTATTATGAATTATATAATATTAAACTCAAACACTGTTATGATTTCTAATATTATCTTAATAATAAAAAAAAGAAAGAAAAAAATTATAGATGTTTTATAAAATTGATCATCTTAAATTTGTTTTCAATTTATAAGAATATGATCGTTTTAAATATTAATTTATCTTATCACTATTTTAAATTGATAAGTTTAATAATTTATTCACATCAATAAAAATTTAAAGGTTTAATTAAAAATTTAACATAAATTTTTGTCAAGAATATTTTCAATTGCAAGTCTCGAACCTTGTTTAACAGTAATTGCCTCAGCTTGTGTAACTGAGGAGGCGGTTGTAAGGTCATTTTTTCCCGCAACTGTCTCTCCCGGCTCATTTCTGATTAAAATACTAAAATCTGCCTTCTCATTTTGAACTTGAAAGGATATATCATACACAGGTAAATAATTTTACAAATAGGTGGACTAGATGGTTTCCATCTTTTAATATTAATTCCTTTGTTTGTCTTGGCATGCTTTCCTCTCTTAATTTGCTACTCATGGCTTGTTTGAATTCCTGAATGGTATGGGAGCTTCGCATGACTCATAGTGATGATAATGGCAAAAGGATTTTACACATCTTGTGGTCATAATCATAAATAAGCTCACAAGCACACGTACGTTTCCAAGGTCAAATGCTGCAACAAAATATATGCAATGTGGATAAGAATGTTGACTCAATGCACTCCAAGAGGGGGGGGTGAATTGAAGTTGGAGAATTTTCACCTCTTTGCAACCACCAAACAAAAATTAAAGAGAGAGTTGAGAAGAAGAGCTTGCACAATGATTTTATAGAGGTTCGGTCCAACCACTTGGAGTCTAGTCCTC